AAATTTGTAATGGACGTAATTTTTCTCCCAATGGCGTACATAGTGGTTGCCCTCAAGGATGAAAACATGAGAAGCTCAATTTAAGCTGTTTCCCAACATGTATTGCCAACTTCCAGTTTCGATTAGTTTCGTAAAAGTTGAAAGAAAATGGGATTTAACGTCACACTTTTTTACACCAGCGGGCGTACCACATCCGGTGGATGACAGGGATTGAACCCACAACTTTTGTCTAAATGACTGTATGACAGACCTTGAGATCACTCGATATACCACGCGGCCAACCAACGACAAATCTATAACATCTGATTACTGTATTATATCTTTCTCAAAACTTACCTGTCACAGAATGGCACCGCCTTGCGAACCAACAGGTACCGGATTCGATCCCAGAGTTTGTCGTATCTCGTGATTTTCCAGTGTGGTTTCTCTTTGTCAGTAGTGCAGACCTCCGGGAGCGGGAGGGGGGGGGGGTAACAAATATCGTCTAGTTGTTCGGATGGGATAAAAAAAACCGAGGTCCCGTGTACGTAAAAGAGCCCCGGACAATTAAAATTCCTTGTATAGTAGTTAGAAACGTTAGGGTCCGGCTAAAATGCCCCTCATAGCATATTTCATGGCGTATGTCGGTTTTCATAAACCCGGTTTTTTTTAGAAAAAAAGTAAGACGTTAAACCCCATTTTACTTCATTTCATTTTAAAATTAACCAATACACCTTTACACAGAGTGGTTAATTACAACAAACGTACCTTTACACAGGTAGATGTATTTATACAATGCTGCTGTGAACTATTAAACAAGCCGACAGGTATGTCTAAATGCAGGTAAAAATAGTTTTACTAAAAGTCAAAACTCAAACAGAGGGAAAAATGACCGCCCTTTCGACGACCTAGCACTTCAAAATTGGGACGTACGTACGTAATCCATGAAAACTCGCCATTAGCGCGTGCCGCGGTCAATAACGAACGTTGACGACCGTATAAACAGCGGTCATCTTAAAGTGTCGACTCAGTCTCACAAATTTGTCCGAATGGCTCTAAGCCTTTAGTTGTGTTCTAATCAACATTGATATACCTATAGACATCATGACAGGATTGATAGTTATTCTCTCTGCTGGTTTCTGTAGCTAGTCAAGTAGCTCAAGCATGTTACAAACTGTTCGCGAGGTTCGTTTTTATTTTTCTCTTTTGTTAAAAAATCTCTTATTTTGCCTCTCCCATTTCTTAATTCTCTATGTTTTTAACTGTAAATAGTAGCTCAAGCATGTTACAAACTGTTCGCGAGGTTCGTTTTTACTTTTTTCTCCTTTTTTTTAAATTTCTCCTATTTTCTCCTCTCCCATTTCTTCATTCTCTATGTTTTTAACTGTAAATAGTAGCTCAAAGCATTTTACAAACTGTTCGCGAGTTTCGTTTTTGTTTTTCTTTCTCTTTCTTTTTAATTTCTCTTATTTTCGCTCTCCCGTTTCTTGAATCTCTGTGTTTTTAACTGTAAATATAATTATCACTCGTGTATTTTATTGAGAAGGAGTTGATATTTTTATTGATCTAGAAGACAAGTCCAGACTAGGTATGAGATTTCTTTAACTTTATTCTGGCATTCCTCGTGTAGTCGACTATTTCTGACGCTTTTATTTTCATGTTTTCGGAAACCTTCGCAAGTACACATCATAGTGTTTTGCACTTTTGTGTACCTCAAGTTGTATATCCATATTATTCAAATACTTGATATACTGCGTTGTTGAAAAGGTTTTTAACTCAATTTCATGTTTTTGCTAAGGCTTTGTAAAGTACAAAAGGAGAGAGAGAGAGAGAGAGAGAGAGAGGGGGGGAGAGAGATGGGGTTTAACCTCTACTCCACACGAACTAGGTCAGTCCGGAACAATAATTCGCTTGCGTATACGGGTATTTAGCAGTGGGATGTAACCGGAGAGATGGGGTTTAACGTCCACTCGACACAGACTATTGGTCATTTTGGGACTACCATATGGTTTAATTTTATTTCAATAATTCTTTAGCAGTGGGATGTAACTGGAGAGATGGGGTTTAACGTCCACTCGATACAGACTATAGGTCATTTTGGGACTACCATATGGTTTAATTTTATTTCAATAATTCTTTAGCAGTGGGAGGAAACCGGGGGATCCCAGAGAAAACCCACGAGGTTGGACAGGCAACCCTACTCCTTGTTACGTACAACCGGGGATTCAAAACCACGCCAGTTGACTCAATGACAGGCCTTATGATACAGCGCGCACGTGCCAACCATTCGGCCATCCAACCCCCAGTACAAAAGGTGTTTTGCACTTTGTGTAGCTCAGGCTAAACGTTATACCAATATATTAAAGGAGCTTTATGTAAGATTTAGATAAAGAGCTGGCTGTTCTCGCTATAATATTTCAAAAATAGATAATGCAAAATGAATATATTGAAAATTTCATTCAAATTACTTTATTTTGAGCAAAGTTATCAGTGGGTGTAGTTTTGACAAGATTTATCGTTACCACGTACTGGTCATTCGAGTCTTAGCCTAGCTTCTCCATTTTTCAATTAAATCATTAAATGACCGAACCGGTCTAATCTATTTAAAATCGAGTACATCCGATTGTATCGAAAGTTGAATATAATCTTGTCATGTGAATAAATGTCTTAATAATAATTTCTATAACATTTAAAGGCCTAAAGAAAGACATGAAATAGGCAGATTTAGCTTTTACATAATGCATTGCAGGTGAAAATGGCGTTTTGCAATTTTTTGGTTAAAGTAGCTAAGTCTCTATCTCAATATCATCCAAAATCTTCAACATTGAAAACACAAATTATTTGTCAATTTAAATCAACAGTGATGCTGTGATCTTACCGGAAAAAGATGTGGCTTCTGATATCCAATATTTAAGACAAAATAAACATTTTACCATTGGTACACGAATCGTGTACCATAATGCGTTTCAGCCCCAGTTCTAGCAAGAGACTCGAGGAACGAGGCTAGACATATTGCACCAAACCAAACGGCATATGTAGACTGGAATAACCAGGCGCTAGAAATTTGCATTCGATTGAGACTGCTGGCTTATTTCGCGGAACGTAACTGATTTGAAATTTAGAGTAAAAACGGAAACCATTGAATGTATATCAGTTTATATACATTCATACTACAGTATTATATGTGTTACGACCTACTTTTGTCAATTTCTAGGTCTAAAATGTTAGCGATTTAGCTCCTTCAAATAAAATGAGATTAAGTAAGCTGTAGATGAATTCCAGATATAATTGTTATCAACTTTTTTGCAGGATGGAGAGCCTGGCAAGGGCAGCCGTCTAGTCGTTCGGATGGTACTAAAATCGAGGTCACGTATATACATTGGCAGTTGGAATTCGATATAAGAGTAGGCCATAGTGCGCCTGCCCGGGCATACGTCCCTCATAGCACACTGTATGACGTATGCCCGTCTTCATTTGCCCAGTCAGGAGCAGAACAGTAGGACGTTAAACTCCATTTCATTTCGACATACAATATTATAACCATCATTTCCCCTGTTTCGAGATGAAATAGAATAAAACAAATCTAGGTTCGTGATAGAAAGATAAAGTGTGGGGGGGGGGGGTAACATCCACTCGACACAAACATATGGTTCAATTTTATTTCAATAATTCGCTTGCGCGTAGGGATCTTTAGCAGTGGGAGGAAACCGACGGATCCGGAGAAAACCCACGAGGTTGGATCCAGTATATGATGCTCTAAGATAAAGAACAAGGATTATTGTATCTATAACTGTTTCCTTCTATGGATACTACTAGACTTCTTTATACAAGGATGGGTTGGATAAGGTCTGTCATTGAGTCAACTGGCGTGGTTTCGATTCCCCGGTTGTACGTGACAAGGAGTAGGGTCGCATGTCCAACCTCGTGGGTTTTCTCCGGGTCTTCCGCTATAATAATTTGGATGCTTGTTTTAAAAAGTTTTATTGATATTGATTGTTTATGGACATGTTCAATTCTGGTTTATTGATGCAAATAATGTCAGAGTGATCCTGGAAGTTAAAGGATTTTTCGAGCAGGGAGAGCAGCAGTATACTATGGTTATTTTGAAAATAAATGAAACCTTTCAGGGACCATAAGGAAAACTTTCAGAGCACATGGGAAAACTTTCAGACAACATGGGAAAACTTTTAGACAACATGGGAAAACTTTCAGAAGATGCTGTGTTTCAGAGGGGGTGTATATATTACCAATCTGATTAAAACACAAATCCTAATTCGTTTCGTTTTTTATAGTTCAAAATTACGTTTTACTACGCTAGGATCTGAAAAAATTGTTATCATTGACGTGTTCTGGATGATGTGATGGATTATCCAATGACATGGTCTGTTACGGCGAGCTTTGGGCGTGAGGTGCACGGAACTGTGGGTAATCCACTAGAAACCACAATACTGATTGGTTAATCAAATGTCTGACGTCATAGTCAAAAGTCGCTCGTATGACCCTTGACGCGATCTCCCAAAACAACTGGTCAGATCTTCATGAAGTGTAGGCCAGCGAAAGTATAAAAAAACGAAACGAAATATAGATCTGTACTTTAATCAGATTGTATATACTATATACAATACCGGTTATAAAAGGGCTGTCAATCTGTATTCTGTCATTAAATATTAATCAAAAAGCGGAGACACCCAGAGACAGAAAGTAATCTGCACTTCAGACAGAGAGGTGGTGGGGGTTATATTCATTGTATCGTTACGAAATGGATTGCTGCTGTCAATCTGTGATTCCATTTAATATTATAAATTGTATTTGTTTTGTTTTTTGCAGATAACATTAGTGGATTACATGATACAGGATTTTCGAAAACCCCGAGAAATCACAAGAAAAAGAACGAACTCCTGAAATAAGCGGAGAAGTCTGAAACTCGACTATTGGTAATCAAGAAGCGATTCAGAATGCGTTGCGCGTTGTTGATGACCACTTAGCTTAACGATCAATGAAAAGGGAATAAAGACGAAGAAGATTTCATTGCGCTTTTATAGATTGGATTTTGGATTTATACGTAAGTGTTATAAGAAATTTATGTAGCAAAGATATCAAAAAACTTTATGACCAGTATCGAGGTACACCTTTTACACCTTTAAGAAAATCGACCAATCAAATTCACGGAACTGATTAACAAGCCAACCAATGAGAGGACGATGTATACGATTGACAGACCATTAATACAATATATAGAAAAGATTTCACTTAAAACAGATTTTCGTTGGTGTCAATGAAAGACGATATCTCTACGTAACCAACACAATGTGATTTGATGTCGTGTATACAGGATTCTAAATATCAACTCGAGTGATCTTGCGTTTAAATTAATTTACATAGTTTGTGATTTTTGTTTTTGAAAACAACAGTTCTTGGAATATTTTTCGGATTTATTATAAATCGGCCATGAAGCTTCTTCCACCCTTTAGTTCAATCTGTTCGTTTGCTTTTATAATTCTTTTTATAACCTCTCTAACGCACGCCTGCGGCCCGGGGAGAGGGTCCGGGAGTCGCCGGAAAGCCAAGAAACACACTCCTCTTGTTTTTAAACAGAATGTTCCGAACGTTTCGGAGAATTCCCTTGGTGCAAGTGGGATGAGTGAGGGTAGGATTAAACGCGATGATGCCAAGTTCAAAGATTTAGTTAGAAATCATAATGCCGATATAGTGTTTAAAAACGAAGAAGGCGACGGTTCTGATTACTATATGACAAGGGTAAGTATAACATGTTATCTATTTTACATATCTTGAAATCAGTGGGTCGCATATTTATTAGTATGTTATCTCTATCTATGTACGACATTGCACGGGTTTTCTACAAGATGTTTCAGGTTGACTCTATTTATGTACCCGCAGTGTATTTAACTTAACGTTTGAATAATTTAAGATTACATAAATTTTGTTATTATTTGTTAAAGTGTAAACGGGGTTTTAAGGTTATATTTCTTTCAGGTTTTAATAGATATATCATGTCAAAAATATCATAATTCGATTATTTCAAATTATTACTTCATTAATGGCTTTTTAATTAATAAATTAATTTTAATTTCTAAGATTATCTAGTTTAAGATTTTCTAAAAAAATTGGGAAAATGTCCTATGTCGGTATTAATCTATGTCATATGAAAAATATTATGATTCGGCTATTTGTATTAAGGTTCAAAATTAGCTCTATCACCTTTATTAATGGCTTGTTAATTAATTAATTTTAATTCTAAAGTCTCTGTTTAAAGATGTTAATTATTGGTTCTAAATTGTTAATAGATCGATATTATCGTTATTAATGGCGAGCTGGTTAAATAATTCATTGATTTTAAAAACTAGTATTTATTTAACTTATTTAAAATCCAAGAAGAAAATTTAAAAAAAAAAAAGAAACCAAATTTAAATAAAATATTTAAAAAAATTTTAAGTTTGAAATCAAAGTTCTACATTTTCACCCATATATGTATATGAGAAAATCCAAGAAAAAAAATTAGAAAAAAAAGAAACAAAATTAAAGTTCTATATTTTCTGCCATATATTATATGTATAGAATCTATGCTATAGATATGTATACCTGGAAGTCGAAGAATAAAATATAAAATAAAATTTCAAAATGAAAGTCCTACATTTTCAGTCCTATATATATATTATATACCTGTATTTAATTGATGGGCTTATCTATGTATTTACCTGTATACACATGTTTCCAGGTATTTATAATATTTGGGTCTCGTAATCTGCACGAGCTAGTAGTGAATGAATAGTAATAATTGATAATGACCGTTTTTTAAAAGTCGTCTATTCCATATTGAAGCCAATAACAGATTATAAAGATAATGTCTATATGTGTAGGGTTAATGTAGGGATATTTGTAGTTATATCTGCACTATAGAAGTATAAACTCTACAACGTGATCTTTAAAATAACTGTCAAGCAATTCTTGAAATTATCCAGTTACTTCAAGATTATAATATCTATATCTGAAGGGATAATGTGGCGATATTTGTAGTAATATCTGCACTATAGAAGTATAAACTCTACATCGTGATTTTTTAAGTAACTGTCAAGCAATTCTGGAAATTATCCTGTTACTTAAGAAAGTTTAAAATTTTATAGCCGTTTTGAAATAATGTACCTAATTGAACAAGATATCCATGGCGGACACTGGGGAGTATGGGACTCTCTTGTACGGGGGGGGGGGGGGTATTGTCTACTCGACAAAACAAGATCATCTTGGAATTGACCACATATTATGGACAATTTCTTTTCTTGTCAATAATCCGCTTGCGCGTAGAGGTCTTTAACTGCGGGTGGGTAGGAGAGGGAACCTCCAAACCCCATGAGGATGGATAAGCGACCCTTCCCCTTGGTACGTATAATCTTGGAATCGAAACCAATGTCAGATCTTATGATCTAAAGGACACGCTTTAGACGACTCGACCACCTGGAGAACCCATATACCAAAATACAAAATATTGAGATATCAATGCTAATCGAACCGAAAAATCTTCTGTTGAAAATTAATGCATATATATGAACCATCTGGAAATATTCAATGTCTTCCGTAGATGATAAAGTGACAAGAATCCGCCTTATGATTCTATCTATGTATATATAGACGAAATTCGTACCTTTCCAGAAAAAAAGATGACGTGCATTTGCGTTAAATATTTCAAGTTATAGACGTTTGATTTGTAGAGCGATGTTACTATTTAATCAGTAACGAGGTTAAACCGTATATATGTAATAATGGAATATTGACCTTCACATGTAACCCTCGTCTTCATTATAAGGCAACGTTGGACGCCATTGAGAGAGAGAGAGTGTTACGTAACATCACGAGCTGTGAAGACTCGCCGTTAACGAAGCGTTCATAAAGAGCAATAAATTGATTCGTTTCAGCCGCTATTCCTAACAACGAGAGATTAATCACCATGAAAAGTTAATGAAATAATATAAGAATCGGTAATATCTTATCCTAACAACGCTATTGAGTGATCGCATACCTTTTAGTTGGGGGGTAATCGCTTGGAAAGAGGAACAGAACAGCTCATGATTTGGAATAGATACTTATCGTATTGTTATTTTACAGTTAAGTAAATTGAAAGTAGTGCTACGGTTTTCGCTTAACTGTAAGTTAATTATATTAGGCCTAAGGTTATTTATTAGTTGTATATCCCTAAGTTAAATAATTTGAAAGTAGTGATATGACTTTCGTTTAACTGTAAGTTAAGGATTCGTAGAAAAGTCAATGTATTAGGCTAATATCTTACCCTAACAAAGCTATTGAGTGATCGCATACCTTTTAGTTGGGGGGTAATCGCTTGGAAAGAGGAACAGAGCCCCTTATGATTTGAAATAGATACTTACTTAATTGTTATTTTACGGTTTCAGACCAGGGTTGATTGTAGTTGTATATCGCTAAGTTAAATAAACTGAAAGTAGTAATATGATTTCCGTTTTACTGTAAGTTAATGTATCCGTAGAAAAGTAAGTTTATTAGGCCTAAACTATTTTATTAGAAGAGCTTTTTACATTTTAAATTGTGAATTCAAGGTAAGGTTTCAGACCACCGTTGATTTTTGCTCAAAGGTTAGAAGACCATTTGACGTTTTGTATAATTTACAAAATGCTAGATACGGTTTCAGACCATTGAATGATTTGTAGTTCTATATCCCCAAATTGAAAGTACAAATGAAATGAAATAAAATGGGTTTTAACGTCCTACTGTTCTGCTCCGACTGGGCTACTGAAAAATTGAAAGTACAAGATATGATTTGTTTGTTATGTGTCCGTTAAATAATCTTAAAAGTTTTTAGCAATAGGTTTACAATGTTTTAATATTAATAAGGAGAGCTTGTCATATCTAAAAACAAATCCTTCATAAAATTGTAGAAATCTGCTTTAAAAAACAATTCGTCCTTTCGCAAACATCTGATTCCACATCTGAAATCGGGTTTAACGTGTTTGTTCTTTCTTGTTTCTTTTTTTTTTTGCATCAACCGGGATAATGAAGATTAGTTGGTATAGACAGGGCGTTCAGTCCCATTTCATTTACTCACTCTAACGAAAACGAGCATACGCCATGCAGTGTTCTATGAGGGAAATTATACCCGTCTTCATTTGACCGGGGGATGGATGGCCATATGGTTAGCGCGTGCGCGTTGTCTCATAAGGTCTTTCAATTCCCCAGTTGTACGTGACAAGAAGTAGGGTCCTGTCCAACCTCGTGGGTTTTCTCCAGGTCCCCCAGTTTCCTCCCACTGCTAACGACCCACACGCGCAAGTGAACTGAAATAAATTGAACCGTATGTTAGTCCCGAAATGACCTAGTTTGTGTCGAGTGGGCGCTAAGCCCCATTTCTCTCTCTCTCTCTCCCTGTTTCTCTGTCTCTCTTCGTTAGCCCGGTCGGTGCAGAACCGTGGAACGTAATACCCCATTATTTATTTTTCTTCGGGAGAATGACTGGAGTATGAATCGGGTTGGAGCGTAGACAAGGCCTTATTCCAAGACAAAATTAATGTTATAGCTTCCGAGAAATGAATCGACGATGTTTGGAGTCCGCCAGGGAACAGCTGTATGACCCTATCTATTTATTAATATTGGTATGTTTTATTCTAATTTTACTAAACTTATTAAATTATCAGTACTAAGCAATTTCAGAATATTATGATAGAGTTTAACCTCTACCAAAGCCAACTTGGCCATTTTGGGACCAACATGCAACTCCGGAACGCTCCGGCGTGCTCCCGCGTTCTATTCACTTAGACAAGCATTATACAAGAGTTAAATCTGCCTATTGCACGTCTTTCTTTAGGCCTGAAATGTTATCTAAATTATTAATTAGACATTAACATGAAAAGACCTCAATCGACTCTAGATGCCATAGGATGACTATGATATAAGTAGATTTTAATACGTTTTGTGCTCGATGCGGTTATCGTAAAAATGGATAATCGAGACATTGTTTATTATCTAACAGCGGTAATAATGATAATCGAGGCTAGGTTATAATTGTATCGCCGATATTTAGACTCAGAGTAAAGTAATTTGACAGAAATTTTCAGCATATTCTCTTTTCATTATTTTACTGCTTACAATGTCCGTGTGTGTTGTGTCTTGTCCACGGGTTTGTCTCCTTGGTTGTTGTGTATTTGTGTGTGTGGTGGGATGCTCCTGAATATGTTAATAGGTTGATTTTGGTAATTAATGAATAGGGGAGCCGATGGTCATAAATTGTTCAATAGATCTTTCTTCAAAATTAATAGGTCTAATGATTTTGAGTTCGGAATATTATAAATAGGTTTATATATTATATACCATATGTTTTTAACAACTCAGAACGTCATTGAGAAGTATTTCGCAAACTGTAAATGTTGAATATTCAAACGGAAATGAAATGAAATAAAATGGGGTTTAACGTCCTACTGTTCTTCTACGAACTGGGCTAATGAAGATGGGCATACGCCATACAGTGTGCTATGAGGGAAATTTTGCCCGGACAGCGGCACTACGGCCTACTCTAACTGTCTACTCTAATATCGAATTCTAACTGTCAAGGGATCTTTTACACGGGACCTCGGTTTTTCGTCCCATTCGAACGACTAGACAACTGTTCTTGTCAGGCCCTCCGGCATGCATCACTGACAAGGGGGAACCATGCCGGAAAATTTGGATGAACTTTCTCGGCCAATGCAGGGATCGAACATGCGACCTCAAGGTTAGCGAGT